TTGACAGTTTGGTTTCAAAGTTTTTAACGTTAACTATTCTATACCTCATTTTCTTAAGGAGTAGATAGATGCTATAAGATTTAGATATTTACATGAGAATTGCACTAATAGAAGGTTAAGCTAACAAAAAATTTGAAACAAGAACCTGAAGAGTGATCTTGTTGTTCATTGAGTATCATTGATGCTTTCTTCACTTTGAACCCGGTATAGTGTGTTTGTTTTTGTTGGTCATGCAGCAACGGTTCTACTATAGGCGAATTGAAGAAGGAAAACAATATTCGTTATTATTTGAAGATTATCAAGCTTAAATGAAGAGTTTATATCTCATAAATCTCCATCATCTGGGTTTGATTTCACTTCCAGTAAGAAAATAGAGCAGAAGCTGCTTGATTACAATCAAGAAGCAGAAAGATTTTGGAGATATTAAATTCTTTCTTTAGTTCTGTTTACACCTTATGTTTGCATTATTTTCTTTGCATTAGGTGGTATGTCACTTTTATTGAGTTCATTCAAGGTTATGCTTATGAGGAATTATCAAAACTGTCACTTAATCACCAGCATGTTGTGTACACTATGTATGATAAGGACAACGATTGCTTTAAATTGTTCAAAAGGAACTTACATTTTGGTTCGCTATCTAACAGGACCCAAGCTAATTGGGTAGGTCGGTACTACTGATTTTGCTGTAATGGCTTGATTTGATTCTATTGGATAGCTGGTTATGTTGTAGCATGCTTGGCTTAGGATGACACTGGTTTGGGAGTGTGAGGCGCAAGCCCACTGCATTATTGAGCATCATCAAGGGTGTCTTGCTATTTCATTAATTTTGGAAGTTAGTAAATAGTATATGCTTTCATTCAACTTCATAAGTACTGACTAATTTTCTTTTGATTCAACTATTTTTTGCAAGGCACGTGCTGAAATCACATAAGTTCACTTCTTCCCATTTAATTTAACAGACAAAATGATAGTTCTAGCATACATAAATCCAGCTGGTAAGTTGCATCAAGTGAATGAAGGCGCACTAGAGATAAAACCCAACTAGTAAAATGTTCAAACTTTGTTATTGTTCTTATGCTTTTGCCATAAGCTTCTTGTTGACAAATTTTCTCCAGCCACACAACAGACACTTGATGGTCCCATTTAAGCAAAATGAGTACATCACCCTCTACTTAATAAATGAAATACTCAAACTTCATTGTCTCTTAGAAGAAAATAATGTTTTCACTCAATAGATTACTTTGAACAATTATGAAAGAAAGCTCATATGTGATTCATAGGCTATAACAATGTACTTTTAACACATTTTTCTTCCAGTAAAAGTTTTGCTGAGACTCTTCGAAGAATTGGAATTCAAGCTAAATGAGTTTTATATGTACGCAAAACCTACATAGGCATTCCTTTAGGCATCTGGTTGTTCCATATGCATCTGTTCTTTCCTTTATGTCTTTCTTGTTTTGCTTGTAGGAAACACCAACTATAGGATCAGTTTGAGATACTTTTATCTATGGAAATCTTTTCACTTCTCATGACTAAAGTATTGACTCTTTTTTAGAATTTATGTTGTAAGGTTAACATTATTCTATTATGGATATCTCATGTTCCATTAGGTCTATGCATTTTTCATTTTGCGATACAATAACATTACCTTAAGAAAAAACTCATTCTGTGCATTGCACGGGCATGCGACTAGTTCTAAAAAAAAAAAATAATAATAATAAAAAAATCACTTTTTACAACATATATTGTCAAAAAATCTATATCAAATATCCTTTGATATTTTAATTTGGTTGGTCTGTTTAGCCATTTTGCTATTTAAATTTAGGATAATTGCAACTGAGACCCCAAACCTTGCAGACATTTTTTTAACCTTTCATTTGTTGCAATCGTTACTCCAAGCCTTTCAAAACATTATGGATGAAACCCCAATGGATGGATTCCATCTATATTTTTGTTAGTTGATCAAAAATTAAACTTTAACCACATTTTAATCAATTATAAAATGACAAAATGGTAACTTTATATTTTTCACATTAAAAGCCTTAAATAAAAAAAATGAATAAGAAAATAAAAATGAAAAAGAAAAAAAAATCTTACTCTCCCTCACCCTCACCCTCACCCTCACCCCAACCCCTCAACTTAAAACCAAAAATCTACCGTAAGGCCCAAAACCCGTTCATAGGGATCGGCCACCACAATTTTCCCTCCCTTGATAATGGAAAATTGCGGTAATAGCGTTTGAGTCACCTCGAGTTGTACATGAATAAATTCAAACACTATAAAGTTTGTATCTGCAGCAATACAAGAATTTTGAAAATTTTGAGTATTTTTAATAAACACAATGAGTAATGTAGAAGGATCAATTTTGTGCAAGTCAACCACATTAGCCAAAATTTATTGTTTCTTACTCGTTTTAGTAGTTTTCTTCTACTTGGGCAAGTGTTTTTCTGATGGCTCTTCTCAGCAACTTATTTTCTTTTCCTCTCATCAAAATTCAGTTAATAATGAACTTACAAAAAAATCTACTTAATCAATTTCGCTTACTTTTAATTGGACGTTGCCTTCCCCATACCTACTGGTAGTGCGAAGGATTGGGTTGGTGGATGAGTAGGAGGTGATGACGAAGGATTTTGAGGTGGGGGAGTTTGATTTAGAGGTGGTGGAGAATTGGGGAAGGGCAAATGAGACAGGGTGTTTGGAGAGTGGCGATGACAATGATTGTGATTGTGGGGGTAGTGGTCAGTTTTGGGCCAAGTGATGGTGACAATAGATTTCTGGTTTTTGGTTAAAGGGGTTGGGATTGGGATTGGGATTGGGATTGGGTTTGGGTTTGGGGTGGGGGTGAGGGGAGAAGAAGATAATTTTTTCCTTTTCTTTTTCCTTTTTTTTATTTAAGTTTTTTAATGTAAAAAATATAAAGTTATTATTTTGCCTTTTTATAATTGATTAAAATGAGGTCAAAATCCAAAAATTTGATCAACTAACAGAAATATGAATGGAATTTATCCATTGGGATTTCATCCGCAATGTTTTGAAATGTTTGAGGTGACAACTGCAACCAATGAAAGGTTAAGGAAGAGTCTACAACTTTTTGAAAAATTTGGGATCTCAGCTACAATAATCCATTTAAATTTTGATACTTATGTACATCAACTTCAGTACAAATGAGAATACACGATTTTGAGATGACACTATTCGTAGTGAAAATATAATGTTGTGTTTCTACCTTAGGGTTTGTTTGGGAGATATTTTTATAAAATTTTTAAAAATTATTTTCAACTATACATGATTTGAGATTCATAATTTTCGTTACTTTTCATTATAAAAATAATTTTTCTTCAAACGACTGAGACTTTGTCTTAGCTCATTTTTCTATTTTTTTTAACGAATTTTATCATTGTTGACGTCAAAAATTGCAAAGCACGATTTTCAGCCAACTTTTAGGAAAAAGATGACTTTTTATTGATAATGAGGGTTATAAGTATGTTTCCATGTAGGAGTGAATTGCTTCGATGGCCCCTTGTCCCTTCGAAGGATCATCATTTTATTTTTATAGAGTGAACTAAGGGTCCGTTCGATTGCGAAGATGGAATTTGGATGGAAAGAAAATGAATTCCAAGGATTTGAATTGCTTATAAATTATTTTCCTAAGAATTGTAAATTATTGTGTTTAATTGATATAATTTTTCACGTGGAAAATATTGAAATAAAAGTGTTTTTTGGTGTTCGTTTGGTTTTGCTTTATATGAAAAATATCAATTAAAGGAATATAATATATTATTATTGGGGATAAAATTTATTTCCATTGCAAAAAAAGAAAAATTCAAGAAAATCATCTATCTTTTCGTGTTCATTTGACTTTGTTTTATATGAAAATTGTCAATTAAAGGAAAATACTTTTTTATAATAATTCTTAGATTTGTTTGCATTACCAAAAAAAAAATAAAAATAAAAAAAAGGCTACAGTACTCGAAATTTGGAATTCTCACCATATTCCAATTCAAGAAAAAGCTGGAAATTGGCTTATGTGGCAAGAAAATTGGAACATGAATTTTACAGAAAATTTTGGCTATCAAACACTCTTAAAATTGAAGTTGGAATTGATTTTCCACTTTCTAGGGAAAATTTTCATGTATCAAATGGTGCCTAAATTCTCTTAGAATTATATCTTGTCAATCGGATCATTTATAATGCCAAGCTTGACTTGTGTGCCACCGATCTCTTTTTTCATTGGCTATCGAGGTCGGCTCCCATCAAATCGTAATTATTCCCTTTTTTATTAAAAAATTATAGTCTACTTCAGGATAAGCGATTATAGTAGCTAATTGGTGGGTTTGGACGGTGCTCATGCCACTGCTTTGAAGTGTGTTTGAGTGATTGGGTGATATACAAGGTGTAAAGAATTTGCAATTATTATGCTTATTGGAATTACGACGGCCACAAGACTGAGCTAAATTTACAAACCCGACCTCCTAAGAAAGCAAGATAGGTGCTAAATATATTTTAAGTGAGATTATAGATAGGTGGTCTCAACAACAACAATGATTTTTTTGAGGATATGTGATTTTTAAAATATGGAAAAGATTTTGAATTTACATATAAAATTATTTTATTGAAAAAATGTTATTAAAAATAAATTAGGTTTTTTTTTTTTAAATTTTATATAGCTAATAGGATTCAAACAAGGGGTTGGATTTTGCAAGGAAAACTAGAGATTTATGATGGTAATTAATATTGTGTTGAAAAAGAAAAGGCTGAGCGTACGTCAAATCTCACGCAGAATCACACCATTATTTGCGTCACTTTGGAGTGTCAAAGTAAATTCTAATCAATAGAGAGGACGTGGGAAACTGGGTAAAGATAAGAAAGGAATAGTAAAGAAAAGGTGGGGTGGTTAGGTAAGGGGTACCCATTGCAATAATGAAGGGTGAGATGGGACCAAGTGGCAGGGCGTGGGAGAAGACGAACATGACATTGTCGGTTGTTTTTTGTGCTCAGATTGTTAATCTCATCAGTTGTTTCCCACTTCTCTTTTCTCTCTACCTTTCTCTCTCTTTAGCTTCTTCACAAGCAACCAACCTGTCTCTTGTTGGATACATAGTTGGCTGTTGGAACCACTGCAACACACCCCACCTCCACCATTTCTTGGTTATATGTATCCCTTCACTATCTATAGCTATTCCGGTTTACGAAATTTGATCTTTGATCAAGATTAGTGCTTCCGTGGTAGAAAAAGATTCAAGATTGAGATTTTTCTGCAACTTTGATTCATATTTTCTCGTATTTTTTGTGGGACTGTAATATTATAAGGTCTCTCTCTCCCTCTCCTGTTTTCTTCCTTCCTTTCTTTTTCATTTAATTATCTCTGTCCGTTTTTTCTATTAAGCCCTAGATTTTCAGGAAATTAATATCATGGGTTGGTGAGATTAGAACAAGATTACATCAGTTATTATACTATAGTATTTAGTGACCTTTGTGTGGGATAATCTTACTTGGGATAAGAAAAATTAGTGGCCTAGTATTTTAGGGTTTTTCAAAAACAATGGCATTGAGTGGTGAAGACAAGGATATGAGAATGCAAGGCTCTACGGGCTACAACTCAGTGGAGATTCAACAAGAGAAAACAAGAAATTTGGACCCAAATTCTGGTGGATCTAAACTGAAGACACCTGCAAAAATTAGCTACCGTGAATGTCTCAAGAATCATGCCGCCAGCATTGGAGGGAATGTAACTGATGGGTGTGGGGAATTCATGCCTAGTGGTGAAGAAGGAACCCTTGAAGCCTTAAAATGTGCAGCTTGCAATTGCCACCGCAACTTCCACCGCAAAGAACACCATGGAGAGGTAGCCGCGGCGGGGATAATCCACCCTCTTCCACTCCCACCACCACTGCCTTCTCCATCAATGGGCCAGCACCGCATGGGAGTGCACAATGTTAATCACTGGAGTTCAATGGTGCAGCCAGTGAAAATGGCTTTTGGCAGTGGCGGAGGCGGAGGTGGAGGTGGTGGCAGTGTAGGGACAGACTCTTCAAGTGAGGAGCTCAACTTCAATGCTTATCAGTCCAACACAGCAGCCCCTCCACCGCCGCAGTTTGTCAACAAGAAGCGGTTCCGTACTAAGTTTACTAATGAGCAGAAGGATAAGATGCTAGAATTTGCTGAAAAACTTGGGTGGAGAATTCCAAGAGAAGATGATACTGAAGTGCAAAGGTTTTGTGCTGAAGTTGGGGTTAAAAGACAGGTTTTCAAGGTTTGGATGCACAATAACAAGAGTTCTTCTGCCAAAAAGGATCCCCAAGAAATTTAGGTTCTTCAAATTGAAATTTAGAACTTGAAATGGAGAGTTGGATAATTACTGCATGTTTAGTTGGGTAGGATGAGACAATAATATTGTCCAGTGCTATCTAATCGTGTACCTTAAACATGGCATTAAGGTAAAAGCTTTAGCTTGGAATTTCGTGTTGTAGAATTACATGTGCAAAAGGGAGAGTAAAATCTGTTTGTATTTGCAGGCTCCTACTTAAGAAGTTTATTCAATTTTCTTATGTTTTCTGGTCGGCAGCCTTTTGTTTTCTCTCTTCTTCTTTTTTCTTGCCGTTTTTGTTCTTAATGTAATGATATTTTATGTCTGATCACCATTAATGTTCTTTGCAGCAACTCGAAGTTTATTTCTCTATTTTTCTTGTCTAATTTGAGTTCAGTTTCATGCCATTTATGATTATTTGAGATTCTTGTTAATTTCTTCAACAAGTTCAAGAGAAATGGTAAATCTCCAGTATGTGTCTCTGTGTTTGAAAACAAGACAAGATCAACGCCAAAAATAAAAAATGGGTCAGAAAACCAGTTAATTAGCTATATGCATGAAACTGCAATATAAATTTCAGGATGAAAGCCTGTCAATGATTCCTAGAAGGTTGAATGTATTTTCTGATCAGTTGTCTTCAATTTTTCAATTATTTTTCCCTTTTTTTGGTTGATGAGTTGATTCAGCCTTGAATCTGTATGTAATGAATAATATTCTTGACATAGTAAAACTTTAAAATCTGCACTGATGACTTTCTATGACATTAATTGCTGGTGCTAGTCTTTTTGGTAGTGGCCAGTGGGCAACGGTCTGCAAATAAACAGATGAATTAGGGTCCATTCGTCAGTTCTTCTGAAATTAATTTTTAAATCAATTTTTTTTTCTTTTGAATAACGCTGAGAGAAAATCATACTAAATTAATTTCTTCTAAAAACTCTTCTAATTAAGAGGATATATTTTTTAAAAATTAATCAAATGCTCAAAAGTTCATTTTAATTTTTGAAAAGCATGATAAACGAGTCCTCAGTCTCCTAACTTTAATTGAAGAATGCTAGTAGCTTAGTCCCTCAATCTCCTAACTATAAGCTAAGTACCAATTTGAACCTCGTTTTGGGCCAAAATACATAAAATAGTGTATGATTAAAAAATAAGCAAAATTTTAGATTTATGTGTAAAATTATTTCATAGACAAATGTGTGTTAAAAATGAATTTTTAAGAAATGGGAGCCAAATATAGGCTTAAAATGAAGAATCCAGGAGGCTTACTAAGGGGTCCAATCATTGGGTCTGGATTTTTTTGAGCATGTTTGAGAGTGATTTTGAGAATTAATTTTTTGATCGTTAGGAGAAAAGTGAGATCCACCTATGAAAGAAGAAATCAAATATGACGATTATAATAGTAAAATAACGATCAAAAAATTAATTTTTTAGAAAAAAAATCATTTTCAAACAGACTCTTTTATGTGCTTACATTTTTCATTGAGCATTTCTAGAGGCATTTTGTCCAAACTCCAAAAATTATCAACTCTACGGTAAAATAAAATAAAATAAAATAATTGAAAAAATGAAAAACGAAAGGTGAAACAAAAGAACTTTTAAAGATGGATTTTTTAAAAATATTTTGGTTCAAGATTCTTTTGATTTTGCTATGTTTTTATTTTTCTTTTAATGGTATTTTCAACTTAGAATTTCACTTCTACACGGGTTAAATGGAGAGTTAATTTCATTAATGGTCATTGAAGTTCAAGGAAAAATTCAAATTAGTCATTAAAGTATTTTTATGACCATTTCAATGAATTCAAACAACGTTGCGTAGTTTATCGCTTCATTAGTTTTATTAATATCATATCCAACGTAATAATTGGTAAACCTTAATGTGGACTAACAATGGTTAAAACAATCTATTTATTTAAGATGGCTTTCTGTTTTAGCTCTGACGTGAACATTTATTGTATATTAATGAAGAAAAAATAGGGTTAAGTTTAAAGTGAGTGATTTAATATTTTCTAGCTCAATGTGATATTTTATTTCCTAAGAATTGCATTTTATTTAAAAATGTAATTCCACGATATGAACATAAAGTATATATCAAGGTAAAACAAGCTAAAGTTGGTTGTGGAGTGGATGTCACCAAAGGGCAATCAATTATGTAACATTATTTAACTTTAGCAACTACAACTCTATTGATCACAAAAATACTTTAATGACCATTTTGAAATTTCTCATGAACTTCATTTACCATTTGTGAAATTAGCTAAGTGGACTATTTATGTCCATAAAGAACCTAAATTTCACATAGGTAAAACGTTGGAGATGCATATGCACTTTTTATGGATTGGGGACTTGAATGTCTATTAAGTAAGAGTTAGAGGACTCCTGTGTAGTTTTTGAATTTAAATCATCCATAATCTCTAATATATTAAATATTATATCAAATAGGAATAATTTTTTGGACGATTCTAACTCTATTATAATTCAATTATTTCAATAATATTTTACTTTTTCACTTTTCAACATGTATTTAATTTATTTGAGAATTTAATTATCATCAATGTATATGTATATTTGACAATTTCATTTCACGTGTGTTTTCATTAATGTATGAATTTCCTATTATTAATTCTCAATTAATTAACATTCACATTCGTTTAATTATTATTCATCTTTATTTATGCATTTTGGTGTTATTAATTCTAATTATAAATTAATTAAAATTTCACACTCGAATGCATTTCATCATTCATGTCCACGTGTACTAATTAATATCCAATTTTACTTAATTGGAAATTAAATAAATAATTTAACATTCATTGTCACGTATATATTTTTTGGTACTAATTCTAAATTAATTAACATTCACACATATTCAAATATTACTTTTACAAGACTTAAAAAGCATTTCATAATACATTCAACATTCACTTGTATTATTAAAAGAGGGAACGCCTAGACGAGTTTTTATGATTGGGCTCCAATTAGTTGATCAAAAGGTCATTCAATCTCTTGTCCCCTAAGTTGGATAATATGTTCTCAACCATTCTTGCTCCAACTAGAGTTCGTGATAGAGAACAAGATAGCGAGCGTACTTGTGTTCACTTGAATTTACCAAGTTCCTTCTCTACTGACACTGATCGGGATCAGCTCAAACGATGATAAGTCACCATTTTCTTTTCTTCCTGGCTCCCATTATTTGTAACCTAAATTAATAATTTTTAATTTGAAGAAATTTTTTATCTTATTCGAATTTCACACTAAGCTTTTGATATATGCATCCCAATATCGATGAAGGAAGGAGTATATTAAACAAACAAGGATACCATCTTATTGGTCATCGCGCTGCAGTCATTGATGGATGTAGGAGGATTGGACCAGGTTGTAGCCAGGTACAGTCCTGCACCCGTTTAATTTTTTTAGAGTAAAAAAATATGCATCAATTTTCTTTTTCTTTTTTTTTTTTTAAAAAAAAAAATTACATATTTGGTTGACTCGTAGTATGATCCTAAATCCATTCCTGACTGCAGTAGTGTAAGGGGTTAGCTCTATGAAACATATCTATTGCGGAGCATGTTTAATATAAACCATTGTCTAGTATTTATAAGACCACCTAATATAACAGGTAAAATTTGAATTTCTTTCTTCTTTAATCAATTAAACATGTCTAGTATCTAATAGAACAATTCGAATAGTTGTTTAGCTAGGTAGAAAGAAACTATTAGCTGAGAGGTTTGGCATCATGCTAGAGATAACATACATTGTGTATCATAACAAGAACGATATACAGTAAAAGCTCCATATTTCTGTTACCTAATAGGAAATTAGTAATTGAGGAAGGGATTAGAGTATGAGATGTATAATAGGTCACATAAATAATTCAGCAAAATCTACATTGTGATTGATATTAAGTGCATGTTTGATTTTGATTTTTCTTCCCAAAAAGTCAATTTTTTGATCGTTACTTCTCTAAATCAGCCAACATTTTTTATTTATTCTCTCACAAGTATGACCCACTTTTCTGTCTAACGATCAAAAACTCAATTCTCATAATCACTACTGAATAAGCCCTATAACTCAAGACTTGGGATCCACCGAGTATAATATTAAGCCTAGTAATTGGCTTATTTGAAATGACACGCCCTGCTCCAAGTAACACTAGTGGACTCGAAATGTGACGTACGCCGATAATAGATACTAACTAAAAATCAGACCTACCATCAATGCTACTACAACTACAATATTATGCAACTTTTTATAAATTATTTTTAACAAAATTTTAACATTATCTCCCCTATAAATAGGACTAATAAACCTATAATTCACAATACGCAAATCTCAAAATATAACACAACAAATAGAAATAAGCCGAAATCTCACTTTTTCCTAGAAAATAACATGAGATGTACATATGGATACAAAATACATAGTGAACTCCATTTGCTATCTACAAGTGATGCAAAATCACATCTAAACCTGAACATGCGTCCCAACCATTGACTACATGCTCTATGAAAATGAGTTATACTGACAAACTCTGTCGGGTGGCTCTGACTCCAAAAGCAAAGGCTCAGCTTCAAAAGATGCCCTGAAATTCAACTGCTGCCTGATAAGAAAAATCGGAAGAAAATATATGAGTTGATAGCTCAGTAAGTGGATAAGTTCAAAAATAATTATACTTTCTCGTTTATACATTTTTATCGAAAATCAAATTTATATCATTTAATAATTCATAAAATAACATCATATAATCCTATCCAAGAAGTGAGACATCCTCATAACACTGTAAAATATCATCTCAAGGTCATGATATAAATATGAGCTGATAACCATACTATAATCTCATTACATCAAACATAGTGAAAAATTCACAAAAAATGTACCCTTTGACTGAATTGGGTAATCTGGCATACACTCGTAGACTACCTCTTGGCTAAGCACTCCTGACACGATTCTCAAGCCCCCTCAGTGAATGGAAGTAGGTCTCAAAAACGTCTCATAAGCAATTTTAGAACACAATCAAGGCCCTTCAGTGAACTATATGTACACGGGCAAAATCCCTTCATCTCCAATCAATAACCCTCAATGTAATATAAAACACGGCTAAGAGCCCTCAGTGAACTAGAAGCATATAATTATGGGTACTTTTTTGATCGATCTCAATATCACACATGTCTCACATTCCAAATCACAAATGTAACATATTCAATCTTTGAAATTTCTACATGTATCACAGTAAAAGAATTTTTCATAATAGTAATATAATCAAACACATAATTGCACATAATATAATAGTATAATTAATTTATCAATACTTGAAAATATTTAAGTTTTTCCACTCACGGAACTATGTATGCAAAAT